CAAGTAATCATCATTCTTAAAACAAGCATTCTATATATCCTACGTTTTTCACGAGTTTTTTTTTTTTAGTTAAATGGAGTTAGATTTTTTGTGGTGAATAGTTAAATGGAGTTAGATAGGGAAGAGTAGGATTTGATGGAAACAGCTTGATTTAAGAATTTGTTAGTTTGTGGTTTGTTTTCAAGCTCTTCTTTGGCTAGAAAGTCACATTGTGACAGATTTGTCTCCAAACTATGTTCTTGGTAATTAAGAAGGAGAGGTTTGTCTGATTGATCAACTTTTGTTTGTCAGGCGGAAGCTAAAATATTGAGAGGGCCACACGAGGATCTCGAAAGCTATCTGGAAGCAATTGATCAATTGAGAAGCACTATAAAGTTTTTCAGCAACAACAAGATGTTCAAGAGTGCCACCGGAGTTATTAGTCATGCTCACGGTTTGCTCTCTAAAGCTCTATCAAAACTAGAGGATGAGTTCAGACAGATACTGCAAAACTACAGGTTCGTCTTTCGATATACAGATTTACTTGTGCCTAACTGAATCAAATTCGTTTGCTAGCTAACACTTGGATATTTTTTTTTTCATTCAAACTATTAGCAAACCAATGGAACCTGATCGTCTATTCGAGTGTCTTCCAAGCAATCTTCGGCCATCATCAGAAGGTGAAGGTGGTGGTGGTGGAGGCAAGAGTCATGATCCACATCATAAGAGCTTAGAAAACGCTATTTTTACAGTCCCAACGGTCATTCCTCCAAGGGTTCTGCCTTTGCTTCATGATTTGGCCCAACAAATGGTTCAAGCTGGTCATCAGCAACAACTTTTCAAAACTTACAGGTCCAACTTCTGCTTAACTTGTACCTTTTTATCTTAAATTTTTATATTCTCTTTAGAAACACCATCTTATGATTTTTGACAATTTATTAGGGATACACGTGCGGCAGTGTTGGAGCAGAGCCTTAAGAAATTAGGTGTGGAGAGGCTTAGCAAAGATGATGTTCAGAGAATGCAATGGGAGGTTTTAGAGGCCAAGATTGGGAACTGGATCCATTACATGCGCATATCTGTACGAAAATCTCTTGCAACAAAAAAAGAACAATAATACTTTATAGATTGTTACTTGTTCCTTCATTTATACGGCAATTGCTTTTGTTTTCCTTGGGACAGGTAAAACTGTTATTTGCTGCGGAAAAGAAAATCTGCGACCAAATACTCGATGGCGTTGAGTCGCTTAGGGATCAATGTTTTGCTGAAGTCACTGCAAATAGTGTAGCTGTGCTGCTTAGTTTTGGGGAGGCTATTGCTAAAAGCAAGAGATCACCGGAAAAACTGTTTGTTCTGTTAGATATGTATGAAATAATGAGAGAGCTTCAGCCCGAGGTAACGTTTACCGTCTCACATCATCACACATTGTGTCAATTATGTGTATGAGCGTACCTGATTGCCATTCATTTATAGATTGAGTTGGTCTTTGGAAGCAAACCTTGTACCGAAATGAAAGAATCTGCGCTGAATCTGACAAAGCGATTAGCTCAGACAGCGCAAGAAACTTTTGCTGATTTCGAAGAAGCGGTTGAAAAGGATGCTACTAAAACTGCGGTTATGGATGGAACCGTACATCCGCTTACTAGCTACGTTATAAACTACGTCAAGTTCTTGTTCGAGTTAGTAACATTCCATATAGCCAAACGAATTGTTATCTTGTTGGATATCTCATTGATTTTTCGAATTCCGAAACAGTTACCAATCGACGTTAAGGCTACTTTTTCAAGAGTTTGACAGTAAAGATCCCGATTCGGAGCTGGGAGCCGTAACCACGAGGATCATGCATGCTTTACAGAACAATCTGGATGGTAAATCAAAGCAGTACAAAGATGCAGCATTGACTCAATTGTTCTTAATGAACAATGTTCACTACATAGTGAGATCTGTCAGGAGGTTACTCTGCTTCTTCGGCTCAAACTTTCTTAAACTGAAACAAAGCCTAAACAGAATCCTGAATTAGACTTACATTTTCACAGGTCAGAGGCAAAGGATTTGTTGGGGGATGATTGGGTTCAAATACATCGAAGAATCGTACAACAACATGCAAATCAGTACAAGAGAGTTTCTTGGGCAAAGGTTTACTGATTCATTTCTGGTTTATGATATATAACGCTTAAAGAGTATATTCTAATTATCAATTTCTTCTGCAGATTTTGCAGTGTCTCACGGTTCAATCGAGCGGGAGCGAGAACTCAAATATACCTAGATCATCAGTAAAAGACAGATTCAAGACTTTCAATTCTCAGTTTGAAGAACTTCACCAAAGACAATGCCAATGGACGGTTCCGGACAGCGAGTTGCGTGAATCTCTTAGGCTTGCTGTTGCGGAAGTCCTTTTACCTGCCTTCAGATCGTTTCTCAAACGTTTCGGGTACATTCAATATAATAACTTATAAACAAAATTTGGTCAAGATTAGTTTGTGTGGTTTCTTGTTCATCAAGAAAGTTATAAAAATGTTGTTGCTTGGTATGTGTTATGATGTTTCAGGCCGATGATAGAGAGTGGTAAGAACCCACAAAAGTACATAAGATTCACTCCCGAAGATCTTGAGCGAATGCTTAACGAATTCTTCGAAGGCAAGACTTGGAGTGAGCCCAAAAGATGAAAATGTATTAATGTTTGTTTTCATTTTGTTGTACATTCTCTTTTGGTTTTTGCAACACTATTATTTATAAGTTCTTTTCTATCTCTTTATTTTTAAAGGTATTTATGCTTTTTCGTTAACTGCAAAATGGTCGCCCAATCTATTTCTCTCAAAACTACTCACCTTATCGTTAAACACACATATTTTTGCTCAATCCTATTTCACCTTCTCCGCTAGGTGTTTTTCTTATTTAATTTTCTCGCCCAGTCTTCATTGCAAGATGAGTTTTTCTTACATTTTTTTAGGATTTTGTGGACCGAATCCCATAGTAGGGATCCAACACCAGGAGATGTGTTTATATATGTTGTACAAAGTGCGACTCTTCTTTAGATTATAGTCTTGTTCAAATGGCATTAAAGAAATACTAACATGCTAAGTCAATGTCGTGTCCAATTTCTATCAGTTGTAGTTGTTATAATTTGATTAAAATGTCAACTAAATATTTACAATCTGGAAATTAAATAATATTTCAAATGAGGATAAAGTCATGGATGACTTTGTTGAATATATGATGAATTAACCAAACTGGTACCTATGAGCAGATCACAAATTCACACATATCCCCAACGATGGACAACCCCAGCGATGGACAAACCCATCTTGTGGTCCATAAGGATGGTAAGGTTGAAGATATGAACACAAGATATGATGTGTGCAAGTTAAAACAGGTTCTGCAAAATTACAGGTTCGTCTTTGGATATATATATTTGTGTGTCTAATTTGAAGCAAATTTATCTTCTCTCGTGAGAACGTTTGTGA